TGAATGGGCCATTATTTCCTATTTCTTTGAAGTGCTTATGACTTATTATGGGAAACTGGGCATTGAAAAAAACAGACATCCCTCCCAGTCATTGAATACCCTTTCTCTGTGCCTGTGCACAGATTAGCTGGGTGTTCGCTGAACCTAGGGATCAACCTGAGATGAAAGCTTAAGGTCTTCTGAGGTCTTTTCTGAGCATATGTCTTACCTGGGCCTGCTTCTGGCTTTCAGAATTCCTCTTTATGTACAGCCGCTCTTGAACATCTTAATTTCCAAGATGGTCTCACCTCAGGTTGTCCTCAGGGCCTTAGGTGGTCTATTGCATGTCTCCATCTGTGATCTCTTGCCCCAAGCGTCCCCAGTCTCCTTGCAGCTTTCACACGTGGAGGATGGCACTTGACGCCTGAGTTAGGAGAGACACAGACCAGTCCTTCAGGCAGCCCTCTTATAGGTTAGAACCCTGCGCACTGCAGATAGGATCTTCTCTGCTCCCTACAGATGGTGGAAGAAAAATGGGCTGCTGCTGCTACTACGTCTAGACCAAAACTGCCTTGCTGGGATTTGGGCACAGGAGAAAAACAGACACCCCTCCCAGTTCTTGAATACACTTTCTCTGTGCCTATGCACACATTCACTGATTTCACTGGGTGTTCTCTCAAAACTCCACAATTTTTCCTAGTGTTTTGAAGACAGATTTTTCTTTATTGGGTATTTCTAAGTTGCTGTAGGCCTTTAACTTTTTGAGAATTCCTATAAGATTAGTGTAGCCAGTTTCTGGCAGCTTTTTGATGTTTGTGTGCAAAGGAGGACTTAGAGCTACCTACCCTGCCATTTTGCTGACATCCTCACAATCGGGAATTCTTGAAGGAGTGCTGTCTAAGAGCCCTATTGCCTCCTCTCTCGTTTGTATCTCTGTTCATTGCTGGTTTGACTTCAGTGCCAACTGCCACATTGAAACAGCCCTTTCCAGGATCACCAGTGCAGCCTATAAGTTCCACTGGGTCCTGGCCACTTCTTTGTTCTTGTTGATGCATTTTGATTTTGATACCACTGACCCCCTTTCCTTTCTGGAAACTCCTTTACTGGTCTCTGTGAATACATTTTCTATGTTCTCTTTTTCTCCTCTTCCCGCAGTTTAGTGTCCCTTGCGGTTCTGCCCTAAGCCTTTTCTCCATCTCATGCTTTCCCCCACCTTGGGTTATACTACTTGTGACTCCTAACCACTACTTGTCTGCTGATGACTTTCAAATGGATAGTGCTCAGTACAGCTCAACTTTTAAGTCACAGATCTATATACCCACCTGCTTAATGAACATACATATTTGCATATGTCACCAACATCTCATACAAAACATCTTCAAATTCTTATCTAGTTGCTCAGTCCTTAAACCTGAGGCTCAGCTGGCTCCCTGTCTGTTACTGACAGTCAAGGCACCACGGAAGCCAAGCGAATAATACTTCTGTAGAATCACCTCTCCATTTCCATTGCCCTCATTTTGGTCAGCACAATTTGTTGCCTAGATTTCATTCTCCAGACTTTTCAACTCAATTACTATACTGCTGACAGAATAGTCTTTTTAAAGAGTAACTCTGATCATGACACTCCCACTTAAAAACCATTTTAGGTGCCTCCCCTCCCCCACCCCAACAAAGTAGCATTCATAAGAAAATCCAAACTCCTCAGACAGCATACAGTATTTCTCATGATGTGGCACATGTTTTACAGCCACATTTATAATTCTACCTCTCATATAATTCTCCTGTAAACATTCCAGGGCTGTTTTTGCCATCATTCCTTCACACATGCTTTTATGGAACACATTCCCTATCCACGACAGGTGCCTCATAAATTTGTTGGATAAAAAGAGTAAAGTTGAATTATACATGAAGCCAGGTTGTTAGAACTGAGAAGGTGGTCTTAGCTCCACTTCGACTAAAACCAGCATGGTTTTCACAGACTTCAAAGAGATAGGAAAATGAAGGAATAGATCTTTGCATGACACTATTTCAAAAGAATTTTCTTGTCAGAAACTCACCATTTTCATTCTTACAGGAGGGGAATATGGAGGTTTGGTGGGACTCTATGGTTTGAAGCCAATCCAAACAATATCACCAATGCAAAAATACTAAAAAGATCTTGAGATCAAGCAGTTCCCTATTCTTTGTAATGCCGTAAACCTTGTTACTGTTTAACATGAGGTTCATGGACCAATGATATTGGCATCACCTGAGAGCTTTTAGAAATTCAGCATGGGTGAATAAAAAGATGTGTGAACAGAATGAGAAATTCAACCAAATGATAGAAAATATAAGAAGGTACCAAATAGAAGTCACAGAGCTGAAGAACACATTAACTAAAAATTATATTAGAGGTGTTCAACAACAGACTAGATGAAGCAAAGGATCAGTAAATGTGAAGTCAGGGCAGAAGAACTCATCCAATCAGAGCAGGAAAGAAAGTTAAGCTAAAGGGCTTGTATTATATAGGTCCCAGAAAAAAAGGAGCAGAAATCCTGTTTTAAGATATAATACTGAAAAATTTCTATACCTGGGGAAAGAAACAGACATCCAGGCTCAGGAAACCCACGGGATCTAAGTAAAATGAAGGCAAAGCAATCAGAAATACTTCCACAAATATATGATCAATTAATTTATAACAATGGAGCCAAGAACATACAATGGGGAAAGGACAGCCTCTTAAATAAATGTAGTTTGGAAAATTGGACCACTACCTTACACCATATACAAAAATTAACTAAAAATGGAGTAAAGACTTGAATGTAAGGCCTGAAACCATAAAGTTCCTAGAAGAAAACATAGGTGGTATGCTTCTTGACATCAGTGTTGGTGTTGATTTTTTAAAATCTGACACCAAAATCAAAAGTAACGAAAGCAAAAGTAAAACTACATCATACTTAAAGTTTCTGCACAGGAAAGGAAATATCAATGAAATGAAAAGATAACCTACTAAATGAGAAAAGAGTTGCACATCATATATCCAGTAGGGTTTAATATCCAAAATAGATAAAGAACTGATATAATTCCACAGCAAAAAAAAAAAAAATCAGTTTTAAATAAGCAGATTTGAATATACATTTTTTCAAAGACATACACATGGCCAAAAGGTACATTAAAAGGTGCTCAACATCAATTATCAGAGAAATACTAATCAGAAACACATTGAGATATAGCTTCATACCTGTCAAAATGGTTATTATTGAAAAGCCAAGAAGTAAAAAGTGTTGGTGAGGATGTGGAAAAAAAGGAGGCTTCCCACACTGTTGGTAAGAATGTAAATTGGGGCAGCCACTATGAAAAACAATATGAAGATTCCTCAAAAAATTAAAACTACCCTATGATTCAGCAATTCCACTCCTGGGTATTTACCTAAAGAAAATGAAAATGCTAAGTTGAAAATGTATCTGCACCTTCATATTTTACTGCAGCATAATTTACAATAGCCAACATATAGAAACCACCTAAGTGTCCATTGTTGGCTGAATGGATAAAGACAACATATGTATATGTATATATATGTGTAGTGTGTGTGTGTATATATGTGTGTGTATGTACGTATACACACATCATCTTTATATATATATATACACATACACACACAATGGAATTTTATTCAGCTATAAAAAAGACTAAAATCTTGTCATTTGTGACAATATGGATGGACCTCAAGGGCATGCTAAGTTAAATAAGTCATACAGAGAAAAATTAGGAAATGGCAACCCACTCCAGGATTCTTGCCTGGAAGATCCCATGGACAGAGGAGCCTGGTGGGCTACAGTCCATGGAGTCACAAAAATTGCATGATGGCGCATGCATGCACATACACACATACACAGAAAGATAAATACCATATGACCTCTCTCATATATGAAATATAGTTTTTTTTAAAAAAGCAAGCTCACAGATACAAAGAACAGATTGGTGGTTGCCAGAGGCAGGGGGTGGAGTGTGGAAATAATGGGTGAGGAGGTCAAAGACTAAAAAGAAAAAATAAAATTTAAAATAAAACAGGATTTCCGCTTATAATTTTAAGGGTTAACAGCTCCCCTGTGAATCCCTAGGAGTCCAGATACTTTCAAGTTAAGAGCCTTTGTTCTAAAATGACCTCCAAGGGGGTATCTGTCCCCTTAGACTACTCAAATAGCAGATGTTGGTTAAGGGCCTGCTGCTTTCTCATTGTACAGACATTGCTGTTGATGGGAATATTTATCATGATAGGCTGGCTCTGCCAATCCTGGGAAAAGCTTAACCATCTCCATGAGCATGGACTAACTATACACACTTAAGTCTACTTTTGCTCCGGCACCTTTGGTTTATCCTAGAGGAAATGAAACAAGAGAAAGGAAAGAAATGATCATCACTTTAATGAATTCAGCAAGAAAATAATAAACCAGATTACCCTCTGGACTGAAGGAGGGAAGAGGGCCTTGTTTAGAGGTCTTCAGCTCTCAAGTTTACCACGACATCCCTAGTACATTGTGTCAAGCCAGCTTGCATATGGTTCATCTGGGAGGCGGCTGACATCTCTGACCACCTCCACACTACCATTAGCCAATCGCTCAGTGGTAAAGAATCCATCTGCCAATGCAAGAGACAAAGGTTCAATCCCTAGGTTGGGAAGATTCCCTGGAGGAGGAAATGGCAACCCACTCCAGTATTCTGGCTTGGGAAATCCAATGGACAGAGGATCTTGGTGGGCTACAGTCCACGGGGTTGCACAAGAGGCAGACATGACTTAGCAACCAAACAGCAACAACGATGTGAGAATGTCACAGAATTCAGCAGAGCCAACCATCCCACTGTGGCACTAAGAAAAGGAAATGTGATGGATAACCTTTAAACTGGCCTCAAGAGAGGCAAAATCAGTGACCGGACGACCTCGAACAAGCCCCTGCACGGGGATCTTCTGCCCCACGCGGCCTGGGCGTGGCGACCTGTCCCATGACTGGCTAACATCTATGTCACCTTTCTCTGCTTCCCAGTGCAATGGGCCTTGCATCGGGCCTCGCCTCGCGGTGCAACACAGACAAGTCTTCTGCCAGACGCTGGATGGCATCACCTTAGCATCGGAGCAGTGCAGCGCCCTTCCGAGGTAAGGGAAAGCCACATACCACCCCTTCCCCAGCCCTTATGTCAACAGCACAGAAAGACGACGGCGAGTGAACGTGTCTCCTCCAACCTTCCACGGTCCCAGCGGTCAGACACTCTCCCCTTTCACCTCCACCCTCTCCAGACCATTGGACTCCTAAAGGTAGACAGCTCGGGGTGGCCTTATGCTTACTGGATGGATCAGGCTGGGCTTTCCTCATTCAGAGATGAGAGCACAAGAGGGTGCTGCTCTTCTGAGGAGAATAGCTGGCACAGAGACTGGCTCTGGCCCCAGGGTGGACAGGAGATCAGGTCCACAAAGGGGACACCAGACCTCAAGGGTTCCACCAGCCTCACTCTTGTCCGCTTCCCTTTAGAAGTTACACTGAGACCCTTGTCTACGGATCTCCGCCTACCATTCCTACCCAGCCCCCAGCCCCTCTCCTCCTTCCTTCCCTGGGGGTGAGGGCTCATCACCCCCCTCCCCAAGGTCCCAGGCCCTGAGTGCAGCTCTGCCGGCCCCCAGCCTGGTGAAGCTCACTCTCAATTCCTGCAGTGACAGAGACACTGTAGGGCTGAGCAGACGGAGGCCCAGTTAGGGGAAGGGGTCTTCTGAGACCCTGCAGCCGTTCAGAAAAAGAGATCAGAACCCAGGGCTAGCAGCACTGGAAGTTCTTGATGGATGCCTGACAGTCTTGGGTTTATAGCAGTGTGTTCACATCTGCCTCCCCTGATCCGGCCCCCAGAGGTGCAGACCCTAACCCTGCCACTCCCCTGGCACAGGCCTGTGAGCACCCAGAACTGCTGGTCAGAAGCCTGCAACGTACACTGGAGGGTCAGCCTGTGGACCCTGTGCACGGCGACCTGCGGCAGCTACGGTTTCCAGTCCCGGCGCGTGGAGTGCGTGCACACCCGCACCAACAAGGCAGTGCCCGACCACCTGTGCTCCTGGGGACCTCGGCCCGCCAACTGGCAGCGCTGCAACATCACCCCCTGTGAAAACAGTAGGTTCCAACCCCCAGAGCCATCTGCAAACTCCCCGCCAGGCGTCAGGTGCAACGGGCAGCCCCAGGGACCGAGCCTGAACACAGGGCAGTAGCCCCACCTTCCCAGGGATCCTGAGCCAGGGCCGGAGTCCGGTATTTTCAGAGGGGTGCATGCAGGCATGCGAGGATGTGGATACGTGTGTCGAGGCCACAGAGGATGGCTGGGTGTGGCCAAGGGCTCCATACTGGCCCCTGAGAGGGCCAGGTGCATTTGGCTAAGCGCTGGATGCAATCAGCCTCCAGCTTACCTACAGCAGTTTGGCTGCGGGTACTCCCCCGGTGGCTTAAACCGTCAAGAGTCTGCCTGCAGTGAGGGAGACCCGGGTTCCATCCCTGGGTCAGAAAGATCCCCTGAAGAAGGGAATGACAACCCACTCCAGTATTGTTGCCTGGCAAATTCCATGGACAGAGGAGCCTGGGGCCTGGCAGGCTACAGTCCACGGGGTCACAAAGAGTCGGACACGACTGAGTGACTAATGCACACACAGACACTCAGAGAGGACGACTAAACCCTGGCTCTTGGGGAGAAAGCACTGTTTATACCCGAGAAGTGAACAGAGGTCCTCCCGCTCAGCCGACACTGCAGCCCTCGCGGCTCTGCTTCCCACAGAACAAGGACCTGCCGACCCGTGCCCCCCTTCCCCGCCCCGCGTACACCCAGCTGGTTGTGCAAGAGCCACACCCAGGGTCTGATACTCATTCCCCCCCTCAAGTTTGGAGCCTCCTCCTCAGCCCAGCACCACATTCGTATCCCAGTTGGGTGGGGACCTATGTTCTCTTCCTTTGGACCCAAAATACATTGGAGGTGCTTCCTCCCAAGGACAGAGACAAAACATGAGGCAAAGAATAGGAAATTTTTAAGTCTTGCTGTGCAGTTTCTCCCCAGTCAGGGCCTCACCGAGTCTCAGATTCCCCCTGCTGAAGAGATATCCTCTAGACAGACAGTCCCATTGCTTCTTCTACATGAGCAGGAATTACCTATGTCCTCCTGTGTGGTGCTGACCCATCTTTGCAGCTCCCACACTCGGGACCACTGTTTTCCATGAAAATAGTTCAGGCTTAGCGCGTTAACCACCGATGTGCACAGCCCCAATCCACGTCAGTATTGCAGAACCATGTAGCCTGTGTCGGTACTGAACGAGGACGCCACAGTGTAGGTGAAGAGTCGAGAGGCTGGCGGGAGATCACAGCAATCAAAGCTTCACAGGGAAGGAAGATTCACATTACAGGGGAGGAGGCCGCCACAGGCAGGCCTCACTGGCCTGCCCCCCGCCCCGAAGTGGAGCAGAACTTAGTCCTCCTGGGAACCATCTCAAGGAGGAGGAGCTCCAGGTACTCAAATGCCATGGGAAAAGGACAGCTTGCCTAGGAGGTGAGGCAGTCCCGACCAGCCTCAGGAAGGGAGGGAGCTGTCAGAAAGGCCGCAGAGCCCCAGCATTCAACGCCCAGCTGCTGCCTGGGGAGCAGATGGCCGAGCTCTGCCAGAGCAAGGCCAGTTCAGCGGTGGCCCTTCCAGCACAAGGGTCGGACCCCAGAAGGCGCCTGGTGGCCACGGCCGTGACTGAGTGTGCGTTTCACATCTCCTTTCTGTCCCCTTTCCCAGCGGAATGCAGAGACACCACCAGGTACTGTGAGAAGGTGAAACAGCTGAAACTCTGCCAGCTCAACCAGTTCAAGTCTCGCTGCTGTGGAACCTGTGGCAAAGCATGAAGGCAGGGCGGGGCGAGACCACCCCGGCCACACAGAGGACTCACGCAACCACCTCGGGCAGAACTTAAGCTTTCTTCGTGTTATTTATTTATTTGCCCCTCCCCACCCCCCCACACACACCCCTCTTCGACCTCCTTCCTTGCCCCCTCCCCAGATGTGAGGCCCCAGCTGTCTGCTCTGGGCTGGCTGGAGGACAGAATGAGGGGACGGGACAAGGACGGAGGTCTGAAGGAGGCAACAGAGCCCCCTGGCCAGCCGGCTCCCTCCCAAACCTGGGTCCCAGAGAGACCCAGGAAGAGGCCAGCGTAGCCCCCAGGACAGCAGCGAGCCAGAGCCAACAGCAGACGAAAGGGGGGCCAAAGGGTAGGTGCCTGAGAGTTTGTGAAGCACTGGTATTGACTCCGGACAGCCAAGGAGTCTCTCCTAGCCAGGGATGGTCAAGACCGGGGAGAGGGGACATCAGCCATGCTAAGGACCCAGCCCAGAACTCAGCTCTTCCACTGGGGGAGCGGGGGTTCAGAGCAACAAGAACTCAAAACACTGCAGGAGTAAAGGGAAGCCAATCCAAGTAGCCGGAGTGGACGGTGATGCAGAAAATGAAGTAGGCAGGGCAGGGACAGAAGCGCAAAGAAAGTGGTGTGTGTTCCTGAGAGAAGGGGACAGCTGGGAATGAGCAGGCAGCTGGTGAGGTTCTGAACCCCAAGCCCACGTGCCTGGTGGACCTCTGTGGGGTCAGGGGAGGCCCTGGGGCTCAGAGCTCTTCTGCCCTTGGGCCCAGGCTGCATGCAGGAGCCATGCCCTCCCAAGGGCGGAGAGGAGTCCCTGAGGCAGCTCAGTGAACTTGCTGCCCACACCCCCAGGGCAGAGCTGGTGAGACAGCAGGGCCTAGCTGTGCAGTCATGCCATCCCTGACGTCTCTTCTAAATCAAGAGTCCCCCAGCCCGGAACTGCTGACACAGGCCAAGGTGTTTTGATCTGAATAGACTGGGTTTCCTACCTATAAGGTTTTTAATGCTTCACTGAAGGGCCAGGGACTAGGGTCAGCTTGTCAAAAACCAAGCCATTAATCGACTTGTCAGAGCATCCATCAGATCAGAGCAACCACTTCCTTCCAGAGCTGACCAGGTGTGGGTGGGGCCAAGGGGCACATCAGCAAAGCCGAAGGGTAACTAAAGCTTCCCAGAAGGTCCTTGAAGGCTTTTCAACCATACCCTCCATACAGTGAAATATGATATACTCTACCGGAATTAATATACCTCGGTTTTGCTAATTCAGTGTGGGCAAAGCAGCATACACACCTAGTCATGCCATCAGCTATGGTAGAGAGGCTGTAGCAAGTCCAGTGGCAAAACTGAAAATCTGGGACATTTTGGCAAATTGCTCGTTCAGCGGAGTGGTTTTGGGGGAGAGATTGTGTCCGCCCCCCACCACAATGGCCCCCATTTAGCAGCAGCTAGAGCAGAGCCGAGTGGCCAGGGTCACTCACCCCTCACACAGACTGCCCCCCGCCACATATACAGACTCGCAAAATGCCACTCACCTCTGGGCCACCACTGACATCAGGGCTGCGTTTTCCAGCCAGCCTGGAAATAAAAGTTGGGGTGGGGGGAAGACATTACACTTTGTATCCGCCCCAGGTGAGCTGTGGACAGTTAAGGCGGTTTCCTCACCATAGTAATGGGCTCTGAGAAATCATGTTACTAAAAATCAGTGTAATTTTTATTTAAAATAAAAGAGAATGTTTTCTATGTCTGTACATCTTTTGTGAATATTTATTAGGATTTCTTGTATAAAAAAGTGCAATATTAATAATTGTACATTGTCTTCCAGAAAAAAAAATAAAATATTTGGGGGACTTTTTATTAACTTCCTGCAGTTGTGTTCCTGTAAACTCAGTGGCAATTATTGTATTGTTCCTATTTTTAGACGAAGCTGATGTTTAACTCTGGATCCACCCACTGTGTACAGAATACATTGTAATAGTCGGCACGGGATGATGGGGCAATAAGAGGGGATTCGTTTGTGACACAACAGTCATGCACAAAATGCGGAAGAAGGATTCCATACTGGTACTAATGCGGTTGGTTCTTTCTAGTTCAATAGTTCTAGAAACCCAGTGGCCAATATTTACAGTTCCTGAACAGCGGAGGTCCTCAAGCTTGTCCACGTGTCAGGGTGTAGCAGGTGAAGATGGCTTTCAGAGCGAGCCCAGAGGACCGAGGTTTGGGGTGGGAAACAGCGTGCTCCTTCCATGAGATGAATGTACATTTACTGTTTGTTCTGTGAATCGTGACTCAGCAGCACCACGAGATTATTAGGGCTGCTGAAGAATGTGGGAGGAGGCACCTCCTCCTCTAAAACACAAAACTGTATTTATATTTTTTTTTGTACAGATAATACAGCTTATTTATTTAAATCTTGTCGTCTGAGTCTCTATTAAGTTCAGCCTTCCTATCTTGTTTTGGGCAGGAGGGGAGGGGGTGAGGCTGGTTCCCAGCCACTAATGTGAGTTTGGCAAAAATGGAAGAATCGCAGTTTGGGGCTTTGCCTAGAAAGCTGGGGGGCCCATGCCTGGAAGAGTCAGTCCTGTAAGTGAACCCAGAGGAGCTAAATATCCACAAATTGAGACAAGTGCTGCCTTTCCCGATCAGCTCATTTATAGCCCTATGGATAGGTATACCTCAGAGATTTAGGATTTTGTTCCAGACCACTGCAATAAAGCAAATATCACAAAAAAAGGAATTCACATGAATTATTTGGTTTCCCAGTGCATATAAAAGTTATATTTATGCTATCATGTAGTCTATGAAGTGTATAATAGCATTATATCTTTAAAAACAATGTACACACCTTAATGATAAATCCGTTTTTGCTAGAAAATGCTAAAGATCACGTGAGCCTTCAGCAAGTCATAGTAGCACCAAAGATCACTGATCACAGAGCACCATGACAAGTAATGATGAAAATTCTAAAGCATGGTGAGAATCACCAAAATGTGACACAAAGACGCAAAGTGAGCAAATGTTTGAAAACTGGTGCCAACAGGCCTGCTCAGGGTGGGGTTGCCACAGACCTTCAATTCTAAAACACAGAGTATCTGCAAACCACAATAGACCAAAGCACAATAAAGCATGGTATATCTGCAGAGGGAAGATGGGAGCCACGGCACCTTCAGGAAGACGAGCAAGCGCAGGCCTCTCTGGGGTGTATGCAGACTTGGGTGCAGGAGGAGCCTCACTCCTGGTCAGGCTTCCCGCCCCCAGGGGTGTGCACAGTGTGTAGTGACCACATGCTGAAATCCTGGGGGTACACCCTCATCAGGGCTCCATCTAAAGATCATTACCACATTTCAATCCTCACATGAACCCTATGATTATCTCCACTGACTTATGGGGAGACAGAGGCCCAGAGAAGCCCAAGGTCACCCAGGATTCAAACCTGAGCAGTTTGGCTTTTTAGCCAGAGCCCTGTCCTTCCCTAGGAGGCCAGCCTCAGCTCCTCTGTGAGAGAGCCAACATGTGTGGCCACCCTGGTGTGGGCATCATCCTCTCCTGCTGCTTGGAGGTTGGCAGAAGCCAATGGTGCGACTTTTAATAGAGATGTTGCTTTTGCAACCTCTAAAACCAATGCTTCTGGCATTCGAGGGCTCCGAGCTCCCCCTCTTTTTAAAGCATTTTAATAAAGCTACTAGAGAAAGTGCAAAAGAAAACAAAAGCCTGCTTGTAGAGTCCTTTATAAACAAGCTCTGGTGAAAGGGCAGCGTGTCCCCAGGCCCAGAAGACACCCACACAGGGACCTTTGTGAGAGACACTCCAGGGGACCCCAGCCTGCAAGCCCAGCTCCAGCCTCTTTCAGCCACTCAACCCAGCATGTGACAATCTGTTCTGCAGCATAAAAGTATGCCAGCAAGCTCTTCTTGAAATTCCAATTATTTTCTAAGGAGTTGTGGGTTTCGCTTTAAAGAGAAGACCAATGCTAGCGCAATAAATACTCACATACCAGCAACCAAACAATGTCCCCCAGAGACCCCCATGGAGGGTGGGGGGAAGGAGAGACGCCAGAGAGAAAACCAAGCATGGCTCAAAGAGTGGGGAGGCCTCAGACAGAATGTATGGAAAATTTTCCAGCCGAAATCACAACGCTCAGCAGGGGGAAAAGAAGAGATCCTGACCAAGACGCCACCAACCACAGTGCAAGAGTTTAGAATCTTGACCACAGGCCAGTCCTGGGATTGTGACTCCTCATGTGAGGGTCTCCTGCTTGGCCTCAGAAGTGTCCATCTTTGACAGGATGAGCTGAGAAAATCTGTGGACCCATCGAGTCCAGAATGATCAACAATCATCAGAACTCTCTTGCATCCCAGCTTCCTCACCTTTAAAGAGAAGATACCTCACGTGACAGGTTGTTGTAAGGAACTGATTAATTCCTGTTGAGGAAACAGAAGCGTGCCTAGCCTATCACTGACACATTCATTGAATGTTAACTGCTATTACCATCATCCAAGCTACCTTAGAGAGGTGCAGAGATGAAGGGCAGGGCTGGCAGAAGGTTTATTTCACATTACTTCCCATTGTCAGTTTTCAAAGACTCTCGCCTATGTTTTCATTTTCAACTGAGAAAGACATCAGCCATTCCTTCAAAGTTCAATACCAGCCAATAGTGTAAACAAGAGAGGTATTAGGGAACCAAGCTCTGTACCATGGAAGAAAACCGATCCCTCCATGTAGCAAACTCAATGATTCACCAAAATACTGACAAACTCCCAGAAAAACTTCCCAAGGCAGATATGATTTTATAATCCCAACGGACAACCTAGTCTCAATTCAAAATACTCAAATGTGCACATAATTGCCATTTCCTTCAGTTTAAAAAAATGGAGAGATAGTCATTCATGAGCAAATATACAAATTAAAGTAAAAGCTAAAATTAAAGCTATCTTACTTACCAAGTTGAGGGCCATAAACAGCGTGGTATTATCCTCTCACTTCATCCTGCAAATAAGATCAAAGGAAATAATCCAATTTTATTAATGCTTCTCAGCTAAAATGAGACAAGACAGACCTCAATAACTTGTGAGACTCCCCCAAATAGGCAAATTCATCTACAAAGGGCAAGGGAAGATTGAGGTAGAGAGAAGGATGAAGCTTTGGGGAAATAACCCAATGAAAAGCTTGATCTGTTTGGCAAAATAACCCACAGAAGAATAAATGAGGAAACAAAACAAGGTGACACCCCCTTGATGTTTTCTGTCTGTGTCCCTCATTTTGTTCAATGAATGAGCTGTGATTTAAGGACTTGAAGATTCAGAGTCAGAATGCATTAAATGTGAGTGAAATCAGGGTAGGTTACGTATCCATGTCCTAAACTGTCAATTAGGAAAACATCAGTGTTGATGCAAGCCTTGAAATAAATAGTGAACAGTTGAATACCCAATGAGTTCTACCAACCCTCTAAGGTTAATCTAAAATTATTGTCTGCCCCTCACATACCCCTCCTATCCACCTGAAGATGCTTTCACAGGTCACATTTGTGTGAGCTGATGAGCCAAACCTTAGCTTCCTCCTCATAGCACCCCAAGGCTTTCAACTGTTGCCACCCCCAAAACTGGAAGGCAGGTATTTGCAAACAAGCCTCTGCTAAGAAGAACTGAGCCGTCACCTCCTCCATCGGCGAAAGGTTTACAGCTTCAATCAGATGGATTCCGTGAAGCACCTGGACCCCATCAACCACATGTGTCACGCTTCTGATAACACAATATACAGATGTCACTCACCTCTGCGTTTTCCAAAGGCAAAATCCATCTTCAGCTGACCATTTCCCAGGCTGCTCCTACAGATGTGGTTTATATATGGATAAACAGAAATTAAATGTGTAGTTTTTATGTGAGTGAAGAGAAAGCAGACAGTGGGGAATGGTTCTCCTGCTGAACATAAATAATATTTGCTTAAGCAGAATGTTTAGGAGGGCCTGAGAGAGATCACGCGGTCAGCATCCAGACCAGAAAGCATGCCTGGGAAACCTGCCCGCCTCTCCAAGACGACATAAACAGCCTTCCTCCAGGCCTCTGTGATGGCCAGGGGTGACCTTGTTCCAAATCCCACAAAGGAGGGTAGACAAGCTGTGAACTGGTTGCCAGGTGAGCAACTCTAGGAAAGCTTGAATGGTCAAGGCAGGGAGGCGAAGTGAGTCATGAGCTTGGTTTTCTTCCCTCAATCCCCACCACCATTTGTAAAATAACAATGAAAGGGCCAGGAAATGACTTAGCGGAGGTCAGTTGGAGGATGATGAAGTTGGTCATCAGTCATGCAGGTGGCCTGGTCCCACAGCCGGAGCTCAGCACATCACAGTAGCAGACACACAGAGGTGCCAGGTTCATGGACTCCTGGGCTGCCTTTCTTCCCCTGCACTGGCCCTCCCTATCGGAGCAAAAACAGTCAAGGTCGCCACTGGAGAACAAACCCCCTCGACTTGGATCCTTCTGCACCGTGAAGTTCCTGGGCCCCGCTGGGATGGAAAACCATCGACCTGTCCATCCAGGCCTAGTGGGCCTCACTCTGCAAGCCCCCACCAGGCAGTCCTCCATCTCTTCTCATCTCATCTCCTTCTCCGTCATCTCTTCTCCCGTTACATACCTTTCCTTTCCTTCAGAGTCTGACCAACTCTGGCTATGCACCAGCTCTGTGCCAGGCCCAGGCTGAGCCCTGAAAACACAGGGGTGAAAGCCTTCTCCCTGTGTGAGCCCCAAGGAGTTCAGAGTCCAACCAGGAAAGCAGATACACCCCACCACAGACGCCAGTGCGTCCTGCTCCTCCACGTTTGGGGAAATCTCCAGTCCAGTTTTCTTCCTCATTTGCTTCTTTCGACAGTCAGCAGGCATGAGTTTCTTCTTTTATCCCTGACTCTCTCCCACTGGGGCTTTTGCAAAGGTATCCTAACTGGACTCCTTAAATCTGTCCTGTCTCCTCCAATTCACTTCCAATATAGCAGCCAGAACTAATGCAATATTGCCTGCAAACACATCAACGTAAACGGATGGCTGAGGGCGAAATAGACTTAAATCACACCCTAGGGCCAGCTAGCTAATATTTAATTATCTAATCATAAATCTACTCTCCAAAAGTGACCACTGCAAGCATTTCAAATATTGTTAACTTAATCTGCACCAGAGGGTCTGTTAATTACACAAGGTTCATTAATTACACATCAGTGAAATTAGTTGTGTTGGCAGATCAGAAAGGGCACACAAGCACCACAGCCCTTGTCCAAACAGTCTAGGTATCCAGCAGACCCAACAGCCTGAAGCTCCAAGTCTACCCACCAACTCCCACCCAACTCTCGCTTGATCTAACTGGAGAAGCTTTTGGCTGATCTTACCATAAGAACATCCACCTTGGAATAACTGTCAGAGTGACTAGGGCTGGAACAATAGGACTTATTCAAGTTCACAGAGCACTGGGCCAGTTCGTGGGCATTTTATGCTCGTACCTGATAGGCTTCCCTGGTGGCTCAGATGGTAAAGAATCCGCCTGCAATCAGGGTTTGACTCCTGGGTTAGGAAGATCCCTGGAAAAGGAAGTGGCTACCCACTCCAGCATTCTTGCCTGGGGAATTCCATGGACAGAGGAGCCTGGCGGGCTACAGGCCATGGGATCACAGAGTCAGACACAACTGAGAGACTAACGCACAAGCCTAATATCAGAATTTGGCGTGAGACTGTTTCCACTGAAACACACCACCTTAAGGAATGAGGCAGTGTAGGTGGAAATTCAGAGCTCCAACCTTTTTTTTTTTTCTTTAAATAATTTTATTTTTAGCTGAGCTGGGTCTTTGTTACTTCACGGGCTTTTCTCTAGTTGCGGTGCTCGAGCGTATCATTGCAGTGGATTCTCTAGGTGCTGAGAACTGGCTCTAGGACATGTGGGCTCAGTAGTTGCAGCTCCCAGGCTCGAGAGCACAGGCTCAACAGTTGTGGTGCATGGGCTTAGCTGCTCCATGGCATGTGGGATCTTCCCAGATCAGGGATCGAACCCGTGTCTCCCGCATTGGCAGGTGGATTCTTTACCAGTGAACCACTAGGGAAGCCCTCCAGCCTCTCCTGATGGAGGTCCTATTTTCCCAAGATAGCCTGGAAAGTACTGGTCAGCCAAAATGGCTTAAATTCATTCACCAAGAAATCTCAAAAGACAAAAAGGTTATACCAGTCCTCTGTTCTAAAGCCTTCTACACCTTCCCACTGTTGTCAGGATAAGGAACAGACTCGGTGAAAGGCCCCGAGGCACCCTGCAACAGCCCGCCTCATCTCTGCATGACTGACCTCAGCTCCCTGGAGACTCCATGTTCCACCTTCCTTCCCCTTCTCACCTTCCATGAGCCATGGAATGCCAACCACCACAGCCACCACCACTTACTCTTCACTTGTGAGTTGTCTTGGCACCCAGGGCAGGGAAAACATGGAGGCTTTAAGATGTTTGCTTCTTAAAGATTTCCTAATTTCACAGCACTTTCCCCCACTGCCTTGCAGCCAAGGTAGAAAGCTGAGGCTCTCAGTCCTTCACCAGCCCACAGAGATACAAAGTCAAGGCCAAAGGTAGGAAAGCCTGTGTTCACAAAGCATCTCTTCCCCCTCTGCCCCTCTTCTCTTCCCTCGTCGCACACATCCACTTATTTCAGGGCCAAGTTTGAACTTGGCTCCTGCAAGTGGCTGAAAAAAGTAAAATGATGATTATTTATCATACCCCCTCTTCTAAATAGAGTAGCTGCCCACAAATGCTTCTTGTTTCACTGAAAAGATGATGGGTGAAAATAAAGAAGACCACAACCAAGAGAAGATGACACTGTGTAACCCTATAAAAGGATGAAGAAATCCTGAAAGACAAGATCTGGGTGACTGTGGCTGGAGAGGCTGGGGAAGGGGAGACAGAGGAGCGAAATGGGAAGGTGAGGGGAGTCGCATATCATCAAGATAGTCACAACCTCCAGGGAGCCATCACCATCTTCCAAGCTGATCCCCATTCTCCTCCTCCTCCCTCACAGCACCCAACACAATTATAATTACCTGTCCAATCCTGGTGCCTGGGAACTCAGAAGATCTTTCCTTCTGTACTTCAGGAAAGAACCCAATCTCCCTAAAGTTGTAGGGGAGAAAGGAGAAAAAGAAAGAGGACACATTTCTAGAAAACCCTAGGATGCTCGGGTCACCCCTGGGCCATACTGGGTCCACAGTGGTGAGTGCAAGTGCCAGGCCCGCCTGGCCGCAAAGGCCCCACTACACCCCGCTGGCCACGTGAACGATGGTCCCACACTCAGACGGCCCAGCCCAACCCTCCTCGACTTCAGTGGATGGCAGCTCCATCCTTCCAGCCACTCAGACTGAAGGTTCTGGAGTCATGCTTGATTCCCTCTTCATCTCACTCTACCATCAGCCAGCCACCCCATGTGGTCTGGTCTGCCTTCAGAATGTGCCAGGATGGGCCACTTTTCTCACTGCCCCCAACTCCACCGGCCAGGCATCTTTCTCTAGGTAAGAAGCCCCCTACCAAGCCCTGCTTTTACCCTGGCCCACTGCTGCCCCCTCAAAGCATGCGACAGGGCGACCAGAGTGACAGCCGTAATGGGAACCTGATCCAGCACTTCCCAGTTGCAAGTGTAGCGCTGGCTCGCCCTGGAGTAAAAGCCGATTCCTGGCAGTGGTCTCTGCACTGGCCTGGCAGTGGCCTCGGGACCACTCCCTGGACACACCTGGACCGAAATATGCTCGTGTCAGGGCCTGTGCTCTAGCTATTCCTAAACACCCTTCTCTCTTCCTTTGAGACTCTCCAGTCTCCCTTTCTCAGGGAGGCCCACCCTGACTACTCCCTTCAAGACACCCTGGGCCTCCCAGAACTCCCAGGTCCTCTTAATCCTGATGACTTTTGCCTTTTTCCATGGCTCTTATCACCTTTTAAGTTACCATACATATACTTTTTATCATGTTTATTATTGCATTTATATTATATATTATACATAATTAGATACCCTTATATATTTGTTGTCGTTTAGTCACTAAGTCTGGAGAAGGTAATGGCACCCCACTCCAGTACTCTTGCCTGGAAAATCCCATGGTCGGAGGAGCCTGGTGGGCTGCAGTCCATGGGGTCACGAAGAGTCGGACACAACTGAGCGACTTCACTTTCACTTTTCACTTTCATGCCTTGGAGAAGGAAATGGCAACCCACTCCAGTGTTCTTCCCTGGAGAATCCCAGGGACGGGGTCGCACAGAGTCAGACTCGACTGAAGTGACTTAGCAGTAGCCACAGCAGCAGTCACTAAGTCGTGTCCAACTCTTTTGCAACCCTGGTGGACTATAGCCTGCCAGGCTCCTCTGTCCATGGGGTTTCCCAGGCAAGAATTCTGGAGTGGGTTGTCATTTTCTTCTCCAGGGAACCTTCCCAACCCGGAGGTCAAACCCACATCACCTACACCAGCTGGCAGATTCTTTACCAGTGAGCCAGCATGGAAGCCCATGTTAGTTGTACAGTATATTTATTATTGAGTGTCTGTCTCTCCCCGACTAGACAATAAGCCCCACGAAGGGTAGGATCTGCATCTGCTCTGTTTACTGATTAGCCTAAAGCATCTAATAAATATTTTCTGAAGGAATGAATAAATCTATATATGCATGTATTTACAGATGGCAGGAAGAGAAGTGTGGCCAACGCTGTGACAGATGGTGCGTCCTGTCCCTCCTGGTGCTAGGGCTAAGACAGCGGTTGTGGGGCGGAGGGGAAAGGGAGGCGTATCTAGCGAGAGGCACATATGATGCGATGTGTGGAGGGAGAAGGCAAGCTTCCTGAGCAACCACCCACCAGACAAGGGACTCACTGGACGCAAGCTCGTTGAGAAACTGGAGAACGCCTAAAAGCTGTCTGGATGGGTCCCCGCAGGAGGGTGGTGAGAACTGTAGCTGACCCAGGAGTCTGGGAAAAGGGCTGCACAAACACTGCCATAACCTCAAGTCCGATGGAGCCCGGGGCAGCCGGGAAAGCAGAGGCAGGACACACAGCAATAACCAGAACCCAGGACACTGCCTCCCTCTGAGAGCTGATAACAAGACCAACACAGTAGATGGACTGTATGTTAGCAGATCACAGGATGAAAATATCTTTTTCCTTGAAAAATCCCAAGGGATCTTTTTCTAGAGTCTAAAGTGATTATTTTAGACCGAAAGCTTAAAATGTAAAAATCTCTGCAAACAACCTTTATCTCTGGATGTAATCATTCCTTTTTATATATTTGACTTGTAAAGCAAGCGAGCATCATGGAAAGAAGCCCTATTGCAACTTAATCAATATTTTTATATCTGTGTGTGTGTGTGTATGTGTGTGTCTGTGTGTGTGGTGTGTCCAGGAGTAATTCGTAAGTCTGAATGCTAACTCAGTACTAGGTACAGTGAAGAATCACTCACACAGACATAGTTCTTTCAACCTTATTATTTCAGAAGCCACACCTGCAAACTGAATGGCCCCTTAAAAACATTCCAGGGGCCTCCCTGGAAGTCCAGTGGTCATGATTCCTCACTTCCAATGCGAGGAGCATGAATTCAATCCCCAGTAAGGGAACTAAGGTCCCACACACTACACAGTGTGGGCAAATAAAAACTTTTTTTACATAAAGCATTCCAAATTGTGTTCTTTTCTCTCAACCTCCAGAGTCTCCTGTCTCCAGCTAGCTAGCATCCTCCTTCCTCCAAATCCAAGGCATCATTCAAAAACATCTTTGCTGTTCACAAGATTTGTTTTACAAATGTCATTTCCTCCAATGTCCTGAGCAAGGCTATGAGTAACTCGCCAAGTTGCTTTACCTCTCTGAGCCTCAGCTCCCTGCCTGGACAGGAGAATAACACACACAGAAGGGTTGCATGTGGATAAAGTGAGGTGGTGTGTGCTGGTGCTGTGGGAAATTGACACAGGAGATACGCATTTGCATCCACTGTCCCATGCGTGAACTTTCCCAGGCTCCTTGGGCCTTGCACTTGGCTGTGCCATAACCTCCCATTTATCAAGAAGCCAAACAGCATCAGTGGATGGTGAGTAGGATGTTTCAGCACTCAGAGCTGACCCCAAGGACCGGCAGAATCCACTGGGTTTCTGCATCATCAAAGAAAGGTCCAACCACATGTTTGCATGCGTGTGTTTTACTACATTCTAAACTTCTTTGGGAAAAAATGTGCAATTATCTCTTGGCAGTGTTTCTCCATCTATGAGCCAATCAGTCTTGCACAACAAAAGGACTCTGCTTTTAGAGTTGGAAACTGTTGTTTCCTGCTCAGCATCCATCCCTTCCTTCCCTGGAAACCACGTCCCAGTTTTCTCTGGGGCAGACCCCTCACCCCAGCCTCCTACAGTTCACGTAGTTTGCATGGTATTGACCCCACATGTATATACACTGCTCAGTCCAGGGGTGCCTGGGTGACCCTGGCCCAGAGAATGAGTATTTTCCATCTCCCTGTCTAGGGCCATCAGTTCAGGGATCAGCAATGAGACTCAAGTCAAGTAAGAGAGACTCAATTCAGGGACGTTTACTGGAACCACTGGAAAGGAGAAGCACTTCAGCTAAAAGGATGCTGTAAACTCACAATTGCTGTAAACTACCATTTAGAAAGGGCCTGCCTGAGATGGCAATGCAGAGAAAAGGAAGAGCCTATCACAGCATCCAAGCCCCTGGATCCAGCTACGCCTGAAAGCCACAGACAAAGCTCTGGTCTGCTCAACCACCTGAACCAACAACTACTCTTTTTCAGTTTGAGTACTTGGAATTACAAGAATGCTAATTCACGGCCCGGAATATACAAAATTAAACAAGGTGCCTTTACTATAGGGCTCCACAAAGACTTCAAAGGATCAAAATGCATCATGCATCTCCAACAGGAGGATATAACAGGCAGCCTCTCCCTGATCTACATGTCCAGTGAACATATTTGAAGACCATATCCCAGGGCTGGTATTCCACAGAAAGGACACTGGGCTGATACATATTACCTCTAGGTTAACCTTATATTAAAATACTTCAAATCCCCATTCCCTTATTATTCTGAAACAAATGGGAATTTATTTTTCCAACACTGTTGATGCATTTACCCAGACTTTTAAAATGTGTATGATTTTTTCTTCTTAATAGCACAAACTGTGGTATATTTTCCAGACTCAATAAAATATGTATGCACATACGTGTGTGTGTGTGTGTATTATACTGGGATGATTCATGAGCTGCCATGCTTTTGAATACTGCATTTTTTAATAGTCTTTTTTTTTTTGTTTTGGCCTCTAATCCCAGTGCCAAGCTATTAGTTGTCAGTGCTTTCTGTTCTAAATGTGTCAAACTAGCAGCAGTCTCTCTTACTCTTCTGTGGGCTAATAAACAGGGAAAAAAGCTCATTGGAAATCTCTGTGTTTAAAAAAAAAAGTGGAGGAGAGGGGCCAATATGCTGAGAGTGAGCGCTGTGTGAAGTACCTGAGTTTCCACACATGAAATGCATGTCAATGACTTTGGCAGCTTACAAGATGCTTATTTCCAGGTCTTGCCTCAGATTTGGACAGCTGAAGTTTCCAAATAATTGACCTCTGAACGTAAGAGGTGTTATAATGCTTAGCCAAGAAAAGAGTCCCTCCAAGTCAACAGTAAGCATTGTGCCCTGCTTAGAAACTTTCAAGTGAAAAGTTTTGTTGTTTTTTTAAGCCCAAGAGAGCCTATTGTCCAAAAAATTCCATTTCTTAATTTATAAGTCATTCACTGGCATAGATGTGTCAAACTGCAGTCATTTTACAGGCATTTTGTCTGCCTTAAGTAGCTGCTTGCCTGTTTAAAGGGTGTTTGTAGGCTCCTTCATTTTCTGCTCCTATAACATGAAATGGCCTTCCCAGGTGGCACTAGTGGTAAAGAACCTGCCTGCTAAGGTGGGAGACACAAGAGATTCTGGTTCGATCCCCGAGTCGGGAAGATCCCTGGAGGAGTGCATGGCAACCCACTCCCATATTCTTGCCTGGCCTGGCGGGCTACAGTCCATGGGTCGCAGAGAGTTGGACATGACTGAAGTCATGTAACACGCATGCATTGGGGTCACATAGAAGAAACCAAGCTTCACCCCATCATTGAAAGAACAACCTTGGTCCTGATGAGGTAAGCAGGTCACAGGTATACAGGCAGGCTGTCTGGTTTGGGCAGTAAAAGCCCAAGAAAATCAGTGTTTTAGATTCAACCACAGGAGTGGAAAGTTCCTGAATCCTTTCAGTTAGCATCAAGCTGTGTTTGCTGCCACACCTCAAGACCTAACAAGGAAAAGCCATCAGTACGTCTCATATCAGCATCTGAGGACCCAGAGGCAGGGACCCAGGCACCTGTGGCCCAGAAGTACGACTTAAAGAGGAGCCCAGCTTAGCACTAACCTGATGCCTTTTCCAGAATCCAGAGCACATGTTCTAAAAGGTTCACAGGCTCCTAGGCTCCCCCGGGGCACCCTCAAAGTGGGAAGGAGATCAGCACCTGCTCAGCCAGCCATGTGGAAACTCTGAGCTGGTCCGGCCAAAGAAAACACCTCTGCTGGCCTCCACCCCCAGCGCTTATGCTCAGAAGGGCCTCTGTCCTCCGCTTCAAGGCCTGAGGACCAGATGTGGGCCTGGGGGATGGCCTGGCAGGTCTGAGAAGCCAGGGGGCCATTTAATCCTCCATTAGGACCGATACACACCCCGCCAGCCCAGCTACCTCCTCACAACAGCTGCACAGCTGAAAAGCCCTTTTGGAGAACCTGGACTGCTCAGTACATCTTCAAGCCCTAAATGACCAGATCCCCAAAAGAGAGCACCCCTCTGGGAAGGATCCGTTGTGCTGATCCTGCCGCCTTTGAGCAATCTGCTTCCCTCCTACGTTACAGGCAGAAGTGTGGAAGAGGGTGGGGAGGACAGCTGCACTGTGTACATTACTGCAAACACTTTTAGGGCAGTGTAACTACAAATGAAAAGGTATTTGGAGACACAGCAGGGAGTACTGGCTCTCTCGCCACCCCAAGGCAAGGCCCCAGCCAGGACTGATGCTCCTGGCTGTGGTTCCTGCTTCAATAGACGGCTCTCTCTGAACCCCCAGACCCTCCTCCATGAAACTGCTGGTGACGTCTGAAAGGGGTGAGGAGGACAGCAGTTGAGGCCCGAGGATGGAGTGGGAGAATGCTATCCAAAGCCACATGCACAGCCTTGGGGAACAGCCTGGGGTTTAGAAGGTAGTGGCCCAAGATCCAGGACTCTCTTCACTGCAAACACTAGTTGACCTGGTACTTATTCTATGCTGACTGCCCACGTTTGCCTTTCAGTCCCTCGTGGGGGAAAAGTCACCCTCCGGGTGTGCTTTCCAGTGGCGAAGACCCCAAGAAAGTCCATTAGTCTTGCTCCACCTTCAGTGGGCTCTCTGCCCAGGCAAGTGGTGCCAACTCGAGCTCATCTCCAGCCTGCCCCCTCATATACACCATTCAACTCTTTTAAGCAATACTGAAATTATAAAACACCATAGTGAAGAAGATGGGAGGAGGGTCATCAGTGAACGAGGGTTTTCAAGAAAATGGAAGAAGACAGGAGAGAGACAGTAGAACAATGACTGACAAGCGTGGATCAGACAAGCCCAGAATAAAAATACCACAAGAATGTTGGGGCTGATAAGGAGTGGGTCTGACAGGCAGAATCTGGCAGGAGCTCAGGATCTGAAATAGCAGGTACCACAGAGAGCAGAGTGACAAATGGTGCTAAAAGTGGGAACTGCTGACAGAATGACTGACAACGGGCCCTGCCTTCCCCAGCCTCTAGTCACTGCCTGGCCTAAGATCGTGGAGCCAAGGCCTAAAAAGGGAGGCCCATCTTCAAAGACATTGGCTCCTGTGAAAATGCAACAAGCAGTATATTGGAGATTTTTCAAGCTACCCTTGGTGCTGTGTTTCAATCGTAATTGGGAAGCCAACTGGAAAGGGGGGGGGGGGGGGGCTACTGACCTTCAAAAACTACAAGTGATGTGCCAGAGTCTTTAACCACACAGGCAGCCCTCATTGTAAGGTGAACCAGGGAATGAGAGGTGCCCTGGCTATCTAGGCTGCTGACACAAGGCTGCCCTGTACAAAGCAGGAAGACACCGTCAGTAGGAGTGGCACATCCCAGTAGATGCCCCCGGTCACCATAGCACAAACCAGCAGGCCACACTCACTCCACCAGAGTCTCCACACCAGCTAACCCCACCACCTCCAGCCCATCAGCCTCACCCTGAGATCCCACTTTCTTCAAGCAGAATAGAGCTTTCCCATCTTTAAACCTTAAAAGCCCCACCTGTTTGCTTCTCCAGAGCCTTATCCCAGAGCATATTGGATTCTGCACTGGAGCAGGTTCCCTGCTTGGCCATACTTTTCTGTTTGCATCTGATTTCTGGTCTCTAATAATTTTTCTTTTATAACATGCTGAAAGTCTTGGAAACCCTGGAATGTGGTAGGTGATTAAGCTCCCACTTCATTCCCACAAGTGAGAAAGGCATGAAATAAATTATGTGTGTGTACTTCTAGACAAGACAACGTGTTTGAAGTCTTCCATCATCAGAGTTTTGTTAAATAGGATGCTATGGGGTCTTAGAGCAGTGTGTGCACACATGTGCATGGGTTTTCATAACTGTAAAAGAATCTTTCTCCAACAGTCTTTATAGGGGAGCCCAATACATAGAACTGACTACAGGAAGCTGCCGTGGGAGAGCAGGGGAAGGGAATCAAGGCCCCATCAGCTCAGATCACTGCCTTTTTCCTTTCTTGTGGCCCAAGTAATGTTCTCAAATGACATTTCCAGGGAGCACAGTTATCAAACCCAACTCAGAACAACTAAATGAACTATAAGAAAAAAGGAGGTATTTAAAACTGTATAAAATACACAAAATTTAAAATATGAGCAGTGGGACTTTCCTGGCGGTCCAATAGTTAAGAATCCACCTGCCAGTGCAGAGGACAGAGGTTCTATCCCTGGTCCGGGAAGATCCCACATGCTGCAGAGCAACTGAGCCCGTGAGCCACAACTACTGGGCCCGCACTCCAGAGCCCACGCCCACAACGAGAGAAACTGCGGCAACGAGAAGCCCGAGCACCACAGCTAGAGGGTGGAGCCTGCTCGCTGCAACTGGAGAAAGCCCATGTGCAGCAATGAAGAGCCAATGCAGCCAAAAATAAATGAATATTTTTAAAATGAGTAAATAAAAACGAGCAGTTGTCCTTACCTGCACACTTGTAAACACTGACCAATAAAATCACAGGTAGTTTCAGCGGCAGAATCCAGCAATCTTCATCATCATGATCACCACCATTGTTGTCATCCTCATCTACATTTAACAAGTTAAAGATAAGCCATGCCTAAGTACTTGATATATACGCAATCATTCAATCCAAACCACAAAACCATGAGACCAATATTATCCACATTGTAAAGAATTTGACCAAGGCCCCATAGCTAGTGGGTGACAAGCACCAAGATGCAAACCCAGGTCTGCTGGACTCTCCTCATGTGCTCTGAGCCATTGTGTTCCACTAGCACCCATAAAAGCCACTTGTGTCCTTCTTTATGTATTTTATGAATTTATTTGTATTAACTACTGTCATAAGAAGAACTAAGAGTAGGGGAGAGCCAATTCCTCAAGTCCTAGAGAGACAGATTAGGCAGAGATGCCCTGGGTGAGTCATCTGGCCTGGAGTCACCATGGAGATGATCCCAAATGTCACAAACAAAGGGCTCAGAGGAAATTTCTCACCCCAAGGGGACTCAGGGCTCCTAAAACAGTCAGATCTATCAATCTTTCTTCAGTTTCTTCCCTTCCTACTCATCAGAAAAGCTTATTAATTTTGACATTACCACACACTCTCATATAACTATATTAAGAACGGGGAATGAAGGAATTAAAAGAATTAAAGAATTAAATGTAAAAGATTAAAATACCTAATCTACCAAAACAGACTAGGTCTAAAATCAATGAGTCAGCAGACACCAGTATACACACACTAACACACACACATACACACACACACACACACACACACACACACACACACACCCTATTATAGGGGGGCTTTCCTGGTGGCTCAGAAGGTGAAGAATTCACCTGGAATGCAGGAGACTCGGGTTTGATCCCTGAGTTGGGAAGATCCCCTGGAAAAGGGAATGGCTACCCTCTCCAGTATTCTTTCCTGGAGAATTCCATGGACGGAGGAGTCTGGCAGGCTACAGTCCATGGGGTCACAAAGAGACACCACTGAGCGATTTTCACTCTCATACTAATATATTAGTATATTTACTATGGACTTCCCTGGTGGCTCAATGGTAAAGAATATGTCTCCCAAGAAGGAGATGCAAGTTCAATTCCTGGGTTGGGAAGATCCTCTAGAGAAGGAAATGGAAATCCACTCCAGTATTTTTGTCTAGGAAATCCCACGGACAGAAGAGCCTGGTGGGCTACAGTCCATGGGGTCACAAGAGAGTTAGACACAACTTAGCAACTAAAACAACATTATTAAGGAATTTGAGGGAAAATATTAGTAGAAACAAATCCAATTATTTACAATTGTTCTCTGGGGAAGTTCTAATAGAGACTAAGGGGTGGCTGCTTAAGAGACTGCTGCCGTTTTATAAGCATTTTAATACCATTTGGTTTTTCAAATCAAGTGCCAATATTCCTTTGATCTGTGAAAAATGATGAAACAAAAATAATAAAACCTACCCTCCTAAGTGGCCTCCTTTAGCTTAATGGCCTCCAGAAAGGAGTTCAAACAGAGAGTACAATTTGATGTGGTTGATGGAGCCATGAGATCTGAGCCACTGCAGATGGGAGGTGTCTGGTGTTGAGTCAAGAGCCCTGGATCTTGAAACAGAAGACCTGGGTTCCAGTCTTGGCCTTGGTGCTCCAGGCTCTATGGCCTTAGGCAAGGTGCATCATCTCTCTGAGCTTCTTTATCCCGTAAGGGCAGTCATCCACACCTGATACAACCAAGAGGATTAAATGCCATAAATCCCAATCCAGTGATGCAAACTAACCTCACGGTAAGAAGACAATGAGTGGGGACCTGAAAGTCTGGGCCAGGGAGGTGAGAGCCATGGAAAGATAGACTTGAATAAGAGATACAGGCTTCTTGCCCATGAACTAGGCACTGAACTGAAATTTCCTCTCCCCTCCATGCTGTTCCCCAGTTCTCTGATACCATGTAGTATATTTTAAGGTTCTACAGACTCAAAAGAGAGGCAGATAACCCAAGTGTCAATCTGCATCCCCCTGGATGAGGCTCACACAGACCTTGAACCCATCTGATCCTGGCCTGAGCCCTCTTGAACAAAGTCCCTCCTTGATGCTTCCTTAAAAAAAAAAAAAAAAAACTCCAAATTATTTAACCTTAGGATCAAACCTTAGGCCCCAAAGAGGAACTTCCAACCCTTTCTCCATTATGACTATATCACACTTTATGAGAGGCCTGGTCATTGCTGTCATTTTAGGACAAGCAGATCCAGGCTTCCCAGGAATGAGCCCAATGTGCAGCCATTTTTTCCAGGTTCTGAGCATTTAGAACCACTCATAGCTTAAGAGCCAGCTGCCAACTGCCTGGTTGCCGAGGGCTCCCTTTCTGCCCCCTCTGCCCCACCTCTCCCTGGACTCAGAGCCTGCACTGGTTTGGGAATGACAGAGGTCTGGCCATCCATGCTTTCCTAGGACTGCCATAGAACCTTGTCCTTTCCCTCCATCTGCCTCTGTTTTGAGTCTGTAGAACCCTAAAATACACTCCATGGTATCAGAGAACTGGGGAACAGCATGGAGGGGAGGGGAAATTTCAGTTCAGTGCCTGGTTCATGGGAAAGACTCATGACGAGACACATACCCCATCAGACAACACTGTTGTTACTGGTATGTTGTGATGTGAAGAGGTAGAAAGATGCCCTGTGAAGCAGCCCTGTGTAGAGAGGCCCCAAAACAAGACTCCAGATCAGGCCTGAAGCACCCCTACCAGGATGAGGAAGCAACAAGAGAGTTAGGCTGAAATATCCCCAGAGGTCGCAAGAAACATGACCTGCTCTCTGCATAGACAGCACGCGGGGTGAACAAAGAGACCTGGAGATTCAATCCCCCCAAAATGAAGTTTATTCTTTGGCACTTCATTCTTGGCAAGGGATGATCATGATGTCAATTTATACAATGATTAAACTAGTAAAATACATCTGGATGGGAAGGAAACCTCAGAGACCAGCCTTGATTTCATGAGCACAGGTAAAGGGCCCAAGAAGGGGAGACAGAAGAGGGAGGGTTAGGGGACTAATTAGCCAGTGATTAAATGTCATTTTCCTTGAGTCAAGTGATTCTCATTTTATTCAAGTGTCCAGGAAACGACGACGAAATCTTTTTTTTTTTTTTTTTCNTTTTTTTTTTTTTTTCATTTTTGGGGAATTCCTTTTTTTTTTTTTCTTTTTTGGTCCAATGAATAGCTCAACCATATGATTTTATAAGCATTGTGCAATTTCTAAATTACAACCTTTAAAAATCAGGCTGACACTGTCAACTCCTGCTGGTTGGGATTTTCTGAATCACCTACAGAAAAACGGCTGCTCCGCCGAGAGCCTGTCTGAGAAATGGGCCGGTATATCCTGTGCCCCAAAGCATCTGTTTCCTCAAAGATGTAGCCAGGAGGCTCAGGGTATGAAGCCAGGCATCTGCTCATTTCCTTCGGAGTAAAGCTGACGGTATATGTGGTCTGGCCCTCCACAGGGATATTTCCTCGGGGCCCAGACCAGAGGGGCTTGCAGCTTTTGGTCATCATGGGCAGGTGGGGCACATAGTGGGCTCGCGTGGTGGTCAGGCAGTCCAAGGGCTCAGAGGGAAGGTTCAACTGGGGGATGGGCTTGACCGGCTCTGTCCGCATGCTGGCCCACTGCTTGTAGTCCTCTTTGGTGGTGGTGGAGCCTTCAAAGCGGCCACCCTTCTTGACCGAGGGCGCGGGTCGGCAGGACTCAGCCGGGGCGCCCTTAGGGAACGTGTAGTGGGCCTGCACTGTTGTCAAAAGGTCCATCTTCTCTTCAGGAGGGACATACATGGCAGGAGGTTTGGAGAACACCTGGGGCGTTGGCCAGGCTTGGTACTTATCTCGAAACTCAGTGGTGTTGGAGAAGGGCAAGAGCCCGCAAGGCCTGGCAGGAGGTTTCAAGCTCTTGGCTGGCTCCCCCATCAGACCCCGGTATGACTCCTTGTGGGTGGTGAGGCTTTCAAAGGGGATTTCACAGGGTCTGAACTTCTCTGGCTCATGCACAAAGTGCTTCTCCAAGGGGTGGGCCACGTAGCTCATCTTGTAGTTTGTCAGATCCTCCAGGGGGATGTTACAGAGCTTGGGCACAGCTGGAGGCTTACAGCTCCTGGTGTTCACCAGGCCCTTCATGGAATAGTCGTCCTGCTGTGTAGTGCGATTATCAAACTTGGTTGATGCTGGCCGGTAGTGGTGAGGAGGACGAAGCAACTCTCGTCTTGGTTGGTTCCAGGGTAAATAGTCAGCTGCAAATAAAGCAGAAGTGGTGATTATTCATAAATCCAATCACTCAACCTGCATGTATTCCCAGAAGCCCCAAAGCCACAAGCCAGTCTTCAGGGAGATGTTACAGGAGAAGAGGAAAACCAGACTAGATCCCTGCCACCACCTCAACCAAGGGCTTGATGTTTCAACTTTGTGGTATTTGCAGGTTATTGTGCAGCAGAAGCCTTCCCAGGTGGTGCTAGTGGTAAAGAACCCGTCTGCCAATGCAGGAGATGTAAGAGATGCAGGTTCAATCCCTGGGTCAGGAAGGCCTCCTGGAGGAGGGCACGGCAGCCCACTCCAGTTTTATTGCCTGGAGAATCCCCATGGACAGAGGAGCCTGGTGGGCTACAGTCCATGAGATCACAAAGAGTCGGATACAACTGAAGTGACTTAGTACACATACACACACGCAGAAGAGACTAATTTATAGGAGTCTCATCACACCCACAATGCTGCATGTGGGGATTTTAGAGGGTCCATGGCCATGAGTGGACCCACGGGATGGATTCCAACAGAGGAGTCCAGCTGCTGCTGCTACTAAGTCACTTCAGTCATGTCCGACGCTGTGCGACCCCATGGACTGTAGCCTACCAGGCTCCTCCGTCCACGGGATTTTCCAGGCAAGAGTACTGGAGTGGGGTGCCATTGCCTTCGCTGGTTCAGCTACTGCTTTCCCCTTATCCAAGAACAGCTCCATTCCTCTAAGGGAAGGTGCCCTCTGTGAATTAGCAAAGAGTGACTGGGAAGGTACATGCAGAGCAGTGAGACCAAGGATTCGCAACCCAGCCCTGCTGGGCCACCAGCCAGACCTACCAGGCCTCCCTTGGTCATCCATGGGGTAATCGCCATTATGTTCCTATCATCACACATACAATCCACATACATCAAATACGGCACTCCAGGGGAATAAGGGGGACTATGTTGGCTAACCAACTCTGAATCCACAGGGAATTCTCTTGTCTACAACTTTACAAAAAGAACAAAAGCAGTCTTTGAGGTATATAGCCAATACCAGTGGAGTCCACAGGCACACTTTTTAAACAGCTTTCTTAAGGTATAATTTGTATAAATATAAAATGCATCATCATACACACATAATTTAATAACTTTTACAGAGTTGTACAACAATCTATAATCAAAATCTAGTTATGCTGAATCACCTTGCTGTACCACATAAATTAACAAAACATTGTAAATCAACTATACTTCAACAAAAAAAATTTTTTTTAATCTAGTTATAGAACATTTCCATCACACCCCTAAAAATTTAATCAAGCCAATTTGCAATCTTCATTCTCATCCCTGGGCAATAATTAATCATTTCTTGGTCACTATAAATGTGCCTTTTCTGGACATTTTCTATAAATAGAATTGCACAATATATAGTGTTTTGTATTGGCTTCATCCACTAAGCATAAAGTAAAGGAGGCTCATCCCTATCACAGCATGTATCAGTCCACTCCCTTTTATTGTTGAATAGTACTAGGGTAAATTTTGTTCATCCATTCATCATTTGACGGGCATTTGGATTGTTTTCATCATTTGGTTATTATGAAAATTTCTGCTAGGAACATTTATAGACAAATGTTTGTGAGGATGTATCTTTTCATTTTTCTTAGGTAGATACCAAGAAGCAAAATTGATAAATTATATGTTTAATTTATGTTTAACTTTTCAACATACCACAAACTTTTCCAAAGTGGTGTGCCACTTCACGTTCCTACCAGCAATGTATGAAAGTTCTCATTTCTCCACATCTTCAACACTTGTTATTACAATTTGTTTTTTAATTATAGGCATTCTATAGTGGGTGTTTAATGGTATCTCACTGTATTTTAATTTACATTTCCCTAATGATGAAAGTGAAAGAGGAGAATGAAAAAGTTGGCTTAAAGCTCAACATTCAGAAAACTAAGATCATGGCATCTGGTCCCATCACTTTATGGGAAATAGATGGGGAAACAGTGGAAACAGTGTCAGACTTTANAAAAAGGAAATTACAGGCCAATATCACTGATAAACATAGATGCTAAAATCGTCAACAAAATACTAGCAAACAGACTCCAACAACACATTAAAAGGATCATACACCATTGTCAAGTGAGGTTTATCCCAGGGATGCAATGCATGTACTGATTCTTCAGTATATGAAAACCAATCAATGTGATACAATTAACAAACTAAAGGATAAAAACCATATGATAATCTCAATTGATGTAGAAAAAAATTTCAACAAAATTAAAGCAATTTATGATTTAAAAAAACCTTCCAGAAAGTAGGCATGGGGGAATCTATCTCAACATAATAAACGCCAAATACAACAAACCCACAGCAAACATTATTCTCAATTTTTGAAAAACTGAAAGCATTTCTTTAACATCAGGAACAAGATGAGGGTGCCCACTCTCACCACTATTATTCAACATAGTTTTGGAAATTCTATCCACAGCAATCAAAGAAAAAGAAATAAAGGGAATCCAAATTGGAAAAGAAGAGGTAAAACTCTCACTCTTTGCAGATGACATGATACTATACATAGAAAATCCTAAAGATGCCACCAGAAAA